AATATACCAGTATTAGTCTCATCCCTCCCATATACAAAGGAACAATTATCTCTTTTGCTGCATTATTTTGCTGATTGCCTGTGATGAGATGTTTATCTAGTAAAGCCTCAATTTCTTCTTCATTGTCGCTAATTTCCAGGGTCCAGCAGCGTGCTCTGAGTTTGGGATGCCTCCCATGCCCTGAGATGTGCAGCTTCTCACTTGCATGTGTTCAGACAGTTTTTGTTTGAGTGGCTGCTCTGTGACATTGCCCATTTGTTAAAGCTTTTGAAGTATTCAGACCTTTTTGGCGATATGGTCTATATAAGAGTTTAGGATAGGGTTATCTACTTTATGTCTTGGTTGAAGTTGGTTGGTAAGTTATGCAATATTTGCTGAGGAGTAGAGGGGCACAAAGGGGAGCCAGTGGACAGACAGACAGCCACGCATCATAGCTGCATAAATCTTATTTCTTTAGGCAACCACATTACAACCAGTTACTATGGCAAATGGAAATCTAAAAATTGAGATTGGTCTTACTTGACTCTCCAGAAAAGGGGGCAACCAATTTCATACCCGTGTACAAGACAAGATTTATTTGGAGAGCAAAGCCAAGGAGACTCACAGTTTCTTGATTAACCCTGTGAGAAAAGTCTCTTATAATTTAGGAAGAACTTCCCTGTGGAGGCATTTAGAGTCTCACTTGAACAAAGCTTTCAAGATATGGACTGACCTTGAGCATGTATCTAACCCCCTTGAAACAAAAAAAACATCCTACATGCTTTCAGCTAAGCATAAGCACAAATGCTCTGCTTAATTGGAGCCTGGTGTAATAACATTAATAGTATAATATATATTATATATATGGGTATAATTGCATCCATGCCCCAAAAGGCGTCTCCCCATTTACAGACTTCATTATTGATGCCTATCTACATGGACATCAAAAAGGCGATCAGCATGTAGTAACGCGCTGGCTATTTCATTATAAACGTCAGACAATTTGAAGTGAATTAATTTTTTTCCTTTAAAGTTCAGTGTTCCATATTTGCAATATATCATTCTGCACTGACATTGACTTAACTGAGCCAAATTCTGCTGTCCTCACTTTGGCAAAACTCCAGTTAATTTTGTTGTCTGGACTCCAAAGGTCCGGTTCTGCAGGAGGCCAAGCAGATACGGTTTCTCTTGGTTTCACTAAAAGCTCTTTCAGCTCAGCACCTCCCAGCACCAGGCTTTTTTAAAGTGTCTCAGGCTCCTTTATGAATGCGCAATGTTATAGAAGGATGATGTACTTGCTGTAGTATACACAGGGAGGCCAGCATTCGTGATTATGCTTGATACTATAGATTCATCTTTGTAATGGAGACTGCAGCTTCCATTAAATAATAAAATAGTTGATGTACATTCCTGTCAGAGAAATTGTACTTGGGCATGTTTGTATTACAAAAGGTCCACTTCAGTCAAATCTAGCTGTTCTCCACACGTTTTATATTTAAAGCAACTTCTCTGTTGACCAGTATCACAGCATACATTTGTTTGTTTCATCCTCAAACCTTTGATATTACATTCAAAGTTGTCCAGCTGTGCCTCTTAACTATCTTCCTCTTGCCAGCATGGTAAGGAATCTAAAAAAGAGGGATCTTAAATGGCTAGCTCTGCATTGGTATGCGTTCTGCGTTGCCCTCTGAATTTCCTTAGCAGCACACAAACTCAGAAAATTGCATGGGTATTTTACTAATATTAATGAGAAAATGGTGGGCATTCTTCAATCTAAACATTTTTATCTTAATGTAATGTAATTGTATAGTAATGTATAATTAATGAGTGTGATGCATTGCAGGTTGATTAGGTGCCTGTGACCTTTTGAATTCAAAGTTTGTCTTTCAGTTGTTTGACCTTGATCAGTTCTTGGAAACATGAGAATAAATACATTGTGCTTGTTACAGTAAGAGGGAATTGTGGATGTCAGCTTCTGTGAAGATCTAAAGGAGATTGGTTTCTGCAAATTTCCTGTGAGCATCCACGCCACAACTACAGTGCCTTAATTTGGGCTCGTGTGTGCTTCCTTATCTTGGCTCACAAAGTCCCACTTAGTGCACTTTTTGGACAGTAATGATTTCTTGGGGGGGGGGGGGTTG